ACAAATACTGGGATCAGTGAATAAAAAAACAAAAAAAAATATTTGCATATTTGTGAAAAAACCAGGAGTTCTATAAAAAAAGGTAATATTTTAAGAAATAAAATATTATGTGTAGTATACATATTATATATAATTATTTCCTCATGTACGTGACATTATTTAAATTGTCTAAGCTTCGGTTTGTCGACACAAAAATATTTCTAAAAATATTGTTATTTATTCGTCAAATGTGTGTTTGCTCAAATGCATTTGTTTTTCTTTTAATGCTTTTTTAAATATTTTTTTTTTCCGTTTTGTAGCTTGACGCTTAAGTTTATATCCCATTCGTTATTTACGTATGTTGCCGCCAACGAAAGTTAGAGCCTTTTTTTAATGAAGAAATACATATGTACAAATGTAGCTTTTATTAGGCTTCTATATGTATATACTAGTACATACTCGAATGTACATATTTATCTGCTGAGTTGCATCTACCTGTATACGTATATACGTATAAAACCACATAATGTGCATTGGCTTTGGCTGCCACTTAACAGGAGAGTGTGTGATCATGCCTGACAGCCTGGTTGGCGAACATTGCCATCGCTGCGACTGACATATTGCTGCGATTGCTGCTTTCTTCAATATATTTTTGTTGCTGCGGTAAAAAAAAAATTTATGTAAACAACAACAGAAAAATCGTAAGAAAAACGTGTTGTGATTTTTATTTATTTTTCAAAGAGCCCAATCGTTAAGACATTCTGTAACTAAGTCTAGGTGTTGACAAGTCTATGTGTAAATATTTTTACTAAAACTTTTCCTTTCTTCGTTTAGTCAAGTGTCTAATGTTCTTTTATGCATATCTAATGCATTCACATGTACATATGTACATATATGTAGTCAATATGTACATATATGTATAAGTATACTTAAGCGCCAATATCGCTGAACAAATCATTTAAAACTGTTTATTTACATTTGTATGTTTGTGTGTACTATGTAAATATGTAGCTAATCATGCATGCATGTACATAGATACGTAAATATTTTAATTTTTCTGGCTTATGTTTTGAGATTGGAAACTCTTTATTTATACATAGAATACATACGTATGTATGTATATGCATTCG